ATTATTATTATTATTATTATTATTATTATTATTATTATTATTATTATTGTTATTATTATTGTTATTATTATTGTTATTATTATTGTTATTATTATTGTTATTATTATTATTTATTATTATTATTATTATTATTATTATTATAAATACTAAGATATCTATATTTATATAGTCTCTATTTAAAATAAAGATATAATTTAAAACCAAACTAAGATATCTCTATTAATAGTGATATCTTAATTTTAAATAGAGATATCTTAGTTTTAAATAGAGATATCTCTATTAATAGAGATATGTTAGTTAAAAATAATATCTCTATTAAAAACTAACAACTCGGCTCGATAACGTTGTGCTACCACCAAATAAAATAAAAAAACACCTATTGTTGAGCGCGCGGCAAGGCGGCAATTTAAAGTTATAATAGGGGGCGCTTGTACCTTGATGATCGCCGCAGATGATCGTGATCGTGTTTCCCTGATGATGGCTAGCCAAAGAAGGAGTTGTTGAATGACGGAAAGAAGTAATTTTTGCATTTCAAAATAAATGCGCTTATAATGAGGGACATTTGAATCTTTTCTTAATTATTACTTCTATAATAAACGATGGCTGTCTTGATAAGGCAGATGTTTACATCGTTTTATCAATACGTGCGAGCGAAGGCAAGATTGTTGTCGGGTTATCGAGAGCAAGTGGACGGTGGGATGGCGTCCCTGGAAACTGATCCACTTTTCAACCAAGAGATTATTCAGGTATTTAGTAAGATATAACCTCGCCACTTACAACCGTAGCTAAGTTAGCCTATGCCTAGACGTATCCTTTGCTAGGCTATAATAGGCCTACTTTCTTGAGCATAATACTGGGAGCAGAATAATTAATATTTTCTTTATTTAGGCCTAACCGTAGGCAGGGCTAGCCTAGGGCCTTACTTACTACTACGCAGCTATTTTAGCTAGTCTAGGCTTACCTAGGCCTAGGCCCTATTACCCCTAAGCCCTAGAGGCCTGCCGGGTGACAGATGATCAGGCTCACTTTCAAATGAGGTCCTATGTTCTTGAAATGAAAATGGGCTCGATTGTCTGTAAGTAATGCAGTCTGCCGTCTTAGTCGGACTTGTGTAACTTCTGATCCAGTCTGCAATATTGCATTACTTAAACACGGGAGATGCCACCAAACAATATTACAACAACAGCAAACAATTAGCTAGGATAAATGTCATTTATTCGAGACCGACCTCTCGCAACAAGGCATCACTCTCTGTCTTTCCCGCTGTAACTCATCACGTGACATATCTTACCTCACTGTTACCCACAATGCAAAACAATAACAAATCATAATTCCTGTTACACCTGACCAGCCAAGGAAGATGGCAGTAACTTTCGCTGGGGATAGAGTCTTATTGTAATAAAATATATTTTATTCTTAATCAGTTTGCTGTTCTATTATGTGTGAAACATTATTTGCATTAAATATATACACTATGTATTTAATGCATGCTTTTTGTCCTCCACTTAATACCAACAATTGACATATTATATTTCATTATTTTTAAAGGACACTTCTCTTTAAATTATTATAAGCCCAGCTCCGATTTGGAAGGAGTCATGTCTTTTAGAAATGCATGGAAAAACCTCTAGGCCTAAATTTTTGCAGGGTCCTGAATATTTTGTTACAATTTGGTCACTAGGATCAACATCTGAAATTCAGCTTGTGAGCAACAACCTCCAAAGCAGACAGTCTCTTGTAAAAGGTACTGTACCCTTATTGATTCTGAATTGTTTGGACCCAGAGAGTTGTACAGGATTGATGTGCAGGCTATATCTACAAGACTTCATAATTTTTGTTAATGATTTTGTACATCATTGTCCATTTGGTAACTATGGTTCATTGTTGTAATATGTCCGATCTGATATTGTAGAGAGGTCAATTTCTCCGGATATATATGGACGAGTTATCACCAGCATGTGATAGACAATTCAAGCACAATAAAAAGAAGACTATGATGTCATACACTTATCTTATAGGATGTGCTTTTAAATCTGTTGATGAGTCGGATGTTTTTCGAGTATTTGGTCACACTTTACTGAGCATTTGATGTAAATTCATAATTCATTTGCAGCCTATTTTAGCAAACGATAGTTGGAACTCATAAAAATCTATTGTAAATACGTCATAGTTTTGGTTTTAAGAAATTAAGTTCTACGTCACCATACCTGTTGCCATGACGTCCTAATATCGTTTAGCATGTTAGTTTGAAGTGAATATTAATAAGCCAAGTTTTCATTTTAATAATCCTTCATAACGATTATTAATAAAATTGTTTTTGTATTCATGATAATGCAGTAGCCAAAATGTAACCTTTCTTTGTGTCACTGTATGCACAATTCAATCAAGTATATTCTAGATTGTTTAAATTATGAATACTGTATGATACAAAAGATCATTATTTGCATGTAAATTTTTTGTAGGAATAACACAGTGCTTTACTGTACATATTATATACTTTGTCAAATTCCTCATAAATCTAAATAAAAAATAAATATTAGAACACTCATTTTACAAATTTCCAAATGTCCACTTTTTTAAACCTATATTATTTCATTAAAATCTTTCACAATTATCATAAAATACTATGCGTGCATCTTCGTTGATTTTTAATAATTTATGGTAAAGAATTTGTTGGAAATTGATCAGCCCAGGTGTGATGGACATAAACCATTATTTCTTCAGTTTTTTAACAACACCCAAATGAATGGGAATTTACAGTAAGTAGAATTTTGACAAAATATGGGTTTCAGAAATTCATGAAATAAGACCCTCTAAATGATACTTTGTCAGAGCTTCCAGGAGCCTTACTTCCAGACCACCGTGGGGGCCTGAACAGCCCTAGACCCCAGCTTTAAGACTTTCGTTGATCACAATATAATGATATAAAAGTTAGAGTAGGATTCTTAAAATATTTTTCTCTCTCAGCGCCTGATATATGGTATGCATAAAACATGATACAGTATGATAAATTTAGACTGATCAGCATGGTATAAAAAAAAATTGTTGTGAATAATTAAAAATTAAATGCAAACTCAGAATACAGAATGACATAAATACCACAACAAAATAAAAAAAATAAAAACCTATTTGAATTACTGATTGACAATTTTTTCAACCTCAATGTAAATCAGTCAAGTGCAACATAATTAAATTTTCTTTTTCCTCAGGAGCCTGGTTTTGAATATTCTGCCAGTATGTTTGTACATTAGGCTCTCTCCTTAATCATGACAATTTATATTATGTACATTTTGAACGTTTTCTGGAAGCAGAAATGTAGGTCTTGTCATGAAGGTTATTGAATATGATGTCCTACCGGCCATGTCAGTTGTAATCAGCCTCATCTTTTGTTTGTCAAACGGATTGCAATGTGTGGTAAAAACATGATGTATTCACAGGAATTCGCAAGCTCGGCCTCATCCAGCGCAGAAGAGCAACTGGAAAGTAATCGGAGAGATTTGGCTCGAATCCCGATGGGACAATACATTTTTCTCAAAATTTATCATAAATTATTCAACATACACAAAGCAATGCATTTTGAACAAAACAAATATTAAATTAGAACTACAAGAATGTACATAAGAGCAGAAGTGTTCCTTCCTCCGCAATAGTCTGTTTCCGGAAATGTTTATTGCATCAATAAATTTTTATTTTTATTTTCTCCTTGGCCTAGATGCACAATAAAGAAGGAAACAAAGACATATTAATTTTTTTTTTTCAGCCATTTCTCTGACGGTGTTTCAAAATAAATAAAACAAGAACATCAACAAAAGTCTTGCCATATTTTGTAAAATTGTGAAGATGATATTATTTTAAAGCTTAATAATTTTTTTGCTATTTGCTCAGTGGTAACAATATAACCAGGGTCTTGCAATGTTTTTGTTTCTGATGTGCATTTGGCACATGCAACCTCCTCTACCCCTTCCCCCTCCCTTCCCACGCAGTGATCAAAATTTTCAGCCAGAGACAAATTATAGACACTCAAATTTTATTTGACAAAAACGTGTGACATGCCAAAATATTGTCATGATGAAATCATATCATGACCATATATAGGCACATCATGACAATATATAGGCACATCATGACCATATATAGGCACATCATGACTATATATGGGCATACAACAGCCTTGACATAGCTTTAGATTAGATGGATACAGTTTGTGCAAGAAATGCAAGCAAAATAGATCATAAGAAGATTTGAACCCCTGCAATAGTTTTGGAGATTTTGAACCACATCCATTGTGCCAGTAAATTTTCCCGATGCAATATTTTCAGCTCTCAAATTCTGATTTTTTTTAAAGAATATTCATTAAAGTAGAACTTGAATTTATTCATGGCTTGCTTTGATAGTAATCAGTGATTGTGAGCATTAAAGCAGTTACTACTGTAATTACACATTACTTGATGTGGAGAGACATCATGCAGATAGCGACATTCCCAAGGACACAAGCAAACATTATTTTATAATCGAACCTACATCTTATATACCACACACTTCTGAATACACAAATCCAAGAATTATGTGCTGTACTCAGTATATTTTTAGTCAATAAGTTTGACTTAAATTGAATATTGTTTATAAAGTGAACACCCTTAAACAACAGCATAAAAGTAGATGTAGTTGTACATTATTCATTATATTGTTTGATAAATTTGACTTAGATTGAATATTGTTTAAATGTGCTTAACCCTTACTACAAACAACAGCCTGGAAGTTTGGCAAATATAAACACCAATCTATTAAACCTCATGCTCTACAAGTTGGGCTAATATAAACACCAATCTATTAAACCTCATGCTCTGCAAATTTATATAAAAGCCTATTTACTGTGTGTATTAACTGTCTCTTATACACATCTAGATGTGTATAATACGTGTATATACACGTATATGTATATGTGTATACGTATAATATACATGCGTATATATATATATACACACGTATGTATGTACACGCGTATATATGTACATATATACATATATATATATATATACATGTATACGTATATATACGTATATATATATAGGTGTATATATATATGTGTATATGTACGTGTATATATATACACGTATATATATAGGGCCTATATACTTTTTAAGTCATGTATCATGCATAGGAACGTTGACGCCTGCAAGGCTCTGGTTTATACCCTTATATCATTTAGCAATGTAGATAAAAAAAATCAGTTAAAAATAAATTTTAGATAACCAAAATTACAGTTAGGGCATGGAATTTATAATTTCACTTCGCAGTTTCCATGCCCTTTCTTTTTTTTAAATTGGAAATTTTGACTTTGCACTTGCAAACCTTGGGTAGCCAGAGTAGCGCCTTGCAGCATTGAATTGATGTAAAGCCGCTGAGTATAAAAATCAATTGAAAGTTAAAAACCAAAAGTGATGAATAAGCCGAGAAATGAACGTGCTTTTGCTTAAAGGGACGGAACCTGTGACCTTCAGATCGGAGGTAAGCAACTGACAGGTCATTTTCCTAAACCACTGCCGACGCGTTGAATTGATGATGGTAATCTCGATCGCTTTAGATATCTAATGTCATAAACATGCTCAACAACTTTTGCATTTGCTGATCCTTCAGAGTACACATTCATGACAGCTGTTCGCACAATGTCCCATTCTAATTGGTCCTTCCATCTCTGCTGTGTTTACCATTTTTGTTGCATTGTCAGAGTATTTTCTCCTAATGCATTTATATTACTGTCGAAGCCTACTCTTCATATTTATGGCCAAGGTTGTAGCGTGAATGGTTGGTATGCTAAGAAGTGGTTATCATAACAGTCAGACTACATTGCATTGGAGTTTGGATGACAGCCTCTCAGTTAGTTTTGATCTTCTTTTGCCTCAAATTGAAGATAATTAACTAAAACAAGGACAACTTTAATGAACTTTACAGGATTTAATTTGCTTGTTAAGTAGTACTTGTATGCAAGGACATTTTTAAAGTGAATTTTGAGAATTTCGTGCTCGGATTTGGATTCAATATTGTTAATAGTTGCATAGCTGAGATTCAATATTGTTTATAGTTGCATAGCTGGGATTCAATATTGGTAATAGTTGCATAGCTGGTGCTATAGAATACTGTAAGAGCAGTATGATTCTTGAGGTATGTACAATAGCTTTGGAGAATGCAAGCAAAGTAAATCAATTTATGTATTTCAATTTATTACTTTCCCATCCAGCAGAATGGAATAATCCTGTTGAAACTAAGTTTTATCTAAAATTTTTATCCAAATCTAGAAGGATTCACTGAGTATTTTTAGATCGAACAATAGTGTTTAATCTGCATGCAGCATTCTGTTACCACACGTACAACCTAGGCAATTTTGGGCAGTTGTTAAACTTAGCTCAGTCGGCTAACCTGGTGGTAGTCACTGTGTGTACTAAACCGTGGAGATATCTTGGTCCCCGGATCAATTCCCATCGCTGCTGTCCTTGTATTTCAGTTGGAGGGCTGAAATGCAAGTTACTATAGCGCACCGTCTTTCGCATGAAATGAAGCCCACTGGAAATAAGTCTTCTTCAGACTTCTGTGGGTTTTCCTTGGTGTTTACGCTGAATAAAGCTCATTGAATGACTGTTTTGGTTTAACAACATAGTGCAGCTTGGAGTACTGTACAATGGAGCCTTAACCCATCCCTGTCCAGAGGCCTAACTACAGTGGCACAAAACAGGGCATGTGCTGATCTGAAGGAGCCACCAAAACAAGCCTAGACAAAAAATCATATAGGCCCAGGGCTTCCAAACTATTATAGAATGTAAAAAATAACCACCAATCATGCGTGACCTGTTCATCCAAGTTTCCACTGTTAACAGTTAATATACAAAGTATTACTGTTGATGGTAAACCAAAGTCAAGTCCTTTGATTGACCCACATTTTGATTTTACCTTGTTTACAATCAAATAAAATGCCTAGCAACACATATTGCTATGGTTACATACTTTGCATTGCCTGTTTACAGCATGTATTAATATACTAACTGCTAGATTAGCTAAGTACAACTTTAGGATTTTTTGAACTGTGTTTACTCTTTGCATTGAAATCTTCTGACATCGTTTATACATCGTTTAGGAGAAATTATATTTTAATCTATTAAGGTCAGGTTAGAACACTTCAGTTAATAGGGAACAATGCTAGAATGTAATTACTCATGTGTGACCGTCATACTGAGTGTCCTAAAATCCACGCGATGAGGAAAATTTAACGTTCTCGCATGACGTCATTACGTCCTATGTCCTGCCGATGTTGTCCAATCAAAAGCTCCCACATAGTCCAAACTATACTATAATTATGACAAAGCAGTCAAAATATGCATCTTTTTTCAAATCAGTTTAAGAAATAAAGGAATTTACTGTATTAATGTATTTTTTTTTGCTTTAAAACATTATTTTTGTAAAATTATAATAAATTCTGGATGATATTCTTTCAGGAGGCATTGTTGGAGTTAGCTGGCGTCACTGATGTATCAAGCTTACGACCTCTGCTGCACAAGTCCATTATAGACCTGCTAGATAATGTGGTAAGCATTCGAACATTAAAGAGATGTAGGGCAGTTAGTTGAAATGATTCATTTCATGCCTTATATGGAACAGGAATTAGCCTCTTTGTATTTGCTAATCCTTCCATCAAACACTGTCCTTGTTGGCAAAAAAAATATTAAAGTAACTCTTACGTAATTTATTTTTTAAATACGTTGATTCATATGTAATTATTTTGTATAGCGGTATTTTGGTAGAGCTGTAACTTAGTGGTTAAAATGCTTGCCTTCCAATCTCAGAGTCCTGGGTTCAAATCCTACAATGATGATGGATTGGAGCTGTAGCCTGGTGGTTAAGATGTTTGCCTTCTAATTTCTTTTGACCACAAAGGAAATATAGTTTTTTTTTTTTACCTTTCTTGTGTCAACCTTAGCATCATGTTTATGTTTTCTCTCTCATCGTTTACTTTTTTTTATATTTACTGATACTGAATGAAATCAATCAATCAGTTCATTGACCTGGGTTTAAGCCATGTGGAGTTTTTCTCCTGAGTAAAAACAACTTTACCCACCACCTTGTGATACTTAACCTAATTATGTAACTTTACTAGTCAACAAAATTGAAAGAAGGAATAATATTCTATCACAGTGATCCTACTAAAAAGGAAATTACCGTACCAAATGAAATTCAAACATTTTATAGTATGCAAAATGTTTAGTAGAAAGTCCTATAAAATTTAATTTACATAATTAACACTAGCCATAAAAATATTGTATATTATATGGCCAGAACACTGTTCATAGTACAATATATTTTTTATACAATTATTATTTCTAGACCATGTATGGGACTGCACTTAATTAATTTATTAAATAATGACTATACTCAATTGTGTAAAAAAAGGTTTAAACCTGCATTATAATGTTGCCACTGTGAGAATCATGATACTGTATGGCACTGCTGATGTACAAGTGGTTTGGCGCACCGGGAATGGTTTCAGGTCGGGGTTTCAATCCCTCGCTGTGCATTTCACTTGTGTCCTTGGTCAAGGCACTTTATCTGCATTGCTTCTCTCCATCGAGGAGTGTAAGTGGGTACCTGGTAGGTTAAATGCCAAAATACGCTGATGTATCTGCTGCAACATTATGGTATACTCCCCCAGGGAGCTTGAGTTTGTGTTCTTCTATAGGTATTTAATCCAATGACTGAGGTAATGATAATGTGTAGTAATTTATCTGCATTGCTTCTCCAACGAGGAGTGTAAGTGGGTACCTGGTAGGTTAAATGCCAAAATACGCTGATGTATCTGCTGCAACATTATGGTATACTTCCCCAGGGAGCTTGAGTTTGTGTTCTTCCATAGGTATTTAATCCAATGACTGAGGTAATGATAATGTGTAGTACATAGAGGGCTTAACAACAGCCCTCGAAATTGGGACGATAAGTTGATAAAAATTGCCGACGTAAATTGCACTCGCCTCAGCACTACGTCGGCAATTTCCTTTTTTAGTGTCTCCAACTTATGCCCTAACTACAGCTAAAAGGGATTATCTATCATCAAAACTACATCACACAACAGCTACAGAACAAAAGCTCACCTGACTAGGCCTAACGTCGATCAATGTAGTATTTTAATTAATTTGGTCATAATTTAACAAGTTCTAGACCTATCTATTTAACTATCTAGCTAGGGTTTGCCCTAAGCCAAGAAAGCATTTTTCCCTTCAACGGCACCGTTGAGCTTAACATGTGTTTGCTCTCTTCATTAATGAAGTAATGTTTATAGTTCATACCATTCTGAAGCAGGTAAAACACGTACACAAAATAAACAAGTCAACCACCAAATATTTAATTTATTTGTATTGAAGTTTATTTCGTAAAAACGGCAACATTAAAACATATGGTATATTATAATAATAGTATAAATTAATCATTAATTTTACAGCTGTTTTAAAATGAACATATTTAATGTCACAGTATAGAGTTACCTAGGCCGGAATCTACCAAAAATCTTTCACGCCCTCATCGTTTCGCCGCCACCTGCCACAACTATGCTTGGGCCATTGTGTTTACAGCGGGCATGAATACATCGGCTTGACTGGTAATTCCTGGTTTGTAAGCACGTCTTACTTGGCGTTGTTAAATTAGTTACTTTACACGATTAAAATAAATTTTTAATTTTAATTTACTTACACACAATAATAAACTGAAAAATGTTAACATTCTGTGTGCATACAAGCTGAAATTTCTTTTCACTTTATGTTTAAAGACACAAAAAAAGAAAGTTCATTTGACTATATGAGTACTGTACATCCAACAACATTCTTACAGTGTTTACAAGCACTGCATTTTGAAACCCAATCTCTTGTGTTATATAAATGTAAATTTATTGTTATACTGCAAGTACCTATGTCAGTGGTGTCATTTCTTACCTTGGCAATTTATCGACATTTTTTTAATATCCACCATATGATTTATATGCATGCTGTAATCAAGGTTTAATGGAGGTCTATACCAGTTGTGTTGAAATCAGATTCATATCTCTTCCAAAAGTCTTTCCAGTATAATATTGTTTATTGGAATAATTTTGATTTAATTTTCAAAATTCCTCATTATAAATTTACCTTGCAGACTGAAGAAGCCTGCAGTATTTGCTATTAAAATTATTTCAAATTATTTTTCTTTTAAATTTAAGAAATATCACATGAAGTCTGTAGTTGCTTCAACCAGATCATGCTGCCCAGGAGTTTTTTCCCAAAATTTATGAGTAATTTTCTAAAAAACAATTTACTGTATTAAAATGCTATAAATTACCAATGAAATGATACTATAGATAGTAGTAAAATAGCGACTGAAGTCAACCAAATATATCCACTTGGGGGGAGGGGTGTCAAGATGGAGTGATTAATAAGCATGCTTTAAATTGAAAAATTTGTGAGCCTACTGTAGACCATAATATATTAGCAACTGCAATCAAAGAACTTTGGTTAAAATGTTTTAGTCCGACAATTGAAATAGCGTCCAAAGGTTGGGGTTCATGCTTGTCCAACAAGGACAAGTGCTTCCCCAACCCCTGCAGGCTACCCCGACCACTGCTGTCTTCCCCTGACCACTGCTAGCTTCCCTCGACCACTGTTGGCTCCCCTGACCACTGATGGCAATTTCAGCATGTAGGCTGTCTAGTTTTTCCAATATAGTGAGTTCATTGGCCGAGTGGTTAAAACAGGAGTGCCACAATCTACAACCATGATATCAGCCCTAGTTTGAACGGCATGTTCTGGTGGTAGAACAAGTCTTCTCAGTGTACACAATGGCTATGTTCACTATAAAGAACCCATTACATTATTCTAGACAAGTAGGGTTATACCCCAGTATACTGGTACAGACAGCCCCTGTAGTGGATGAAGAGAGTTGCTGGTACCGGGTTACCGGGTAACACAGACACGAAAGGACCCTTAGGGGCGATTGGATTGGGCGACCCTTAGGGGCGAAGGATAGCCCAAAAAAGTCTAAAGGAAGACTTATTTCCAGTGGGGTCCTTCTGGTGGTGATTGGAGAGTACACCGGAGACAATCCCCTACTCTTTTCCTAAGAGTGTACTGTGTTCTTTAACGTGCACATGGGCCATAAAAGCACACGGGACCAATGGCTTAAACATCTCATCCAAAAGACGATGCGCTATTATAACTTGTATTTCAACCCTCTAGCTGAAACACAAGGAGAGGCAGCGATGGGAATTGAACCGGGGACCTAGAGATCTCCACGGTTCAGCGCACACACAGTGGCTACCACCAGATTAGCCAACTGAGCTAAGCTGCTCTCTCACTGAGCTAAGCTGCTCTCTCCGCAGAGAAAATCATTTATGGTTTTCAATAATATAATTCTGAATATTATTTGGATATCTGTTCTCAATATCAAACTTTACGTAACAAATAGATGTGATGCCCATGATTGTAAGAATGATGTCATCATGCACATATATGGGCATATCACACATATTGTCACATAGAATTTGTTAGTGTAAATATGACATTACAAATTGATACACAACATTGAATAATAATCATGCTGAGCTCTTTTACCAGAGATAATGTAATCTTTGTAGTCATCTTGTGTTTGAGATTGTAGGGCCAATAGGAGTGAGTAAATATTGGATGAGGAATGTTCATTCTCTGTGATAAGCTGAATACATATTAAGTGATTTATATTCACTATTGAGCTAGTTATAGTTTCTTGTGGAGGTGTAGATTACATAATTGGAAGTTGAATATTAATAATTGTAGTCAATTGTGACATCATCGTTGTCCCAATGTTATTTTCCTATCTTCAACCGTACACTAACTTTTCATTAGTGCATACTGTAGTTAGTTTGATCTTCAGGTTTGTGTGGAAAATGCCAATTCTTACTATGACTTGTAGGCTAGTGCTTTTACACCTATTAGCGCTACAACACATGCCAGTGGAAAGTTAGGGCAAACACCGAGATTTAGTTTTTTGTGGAAGTGTAGATTACATAATAGGAAGTAGACTATTAATAATTTATTAGTTGCAGTAATAATATAATGAAAGGACAAAAATATTGTTGTATTGCCAAACTAGGGTGACATTTTACATTGTTCAGTCGCTTTTAATCTATCATCTAGTTCGAAGGGGTATCATCATGCAACCCATGTTTTTCTGAAGTATTGAATTAATAAAAATAAAAAATTTTAATAATGAATATATTTATTATCAGCTTTGAATTGTCACCAGTGGAGGTGTTTTCAATAAAAATCTAGTATCATTCAACCCATTTTGTTCTGGAAATATGATCCACTGACCAGGAAAGAAGAACATTATTGACTGGTGAATTTTTTGTAGGTTTCTTTTGAGTAATTGTTCATAACCGTAAAATCTCAAATTGGAGCCCTGGGCTTCTTTGTTTTTTTTCAAAATTTAGATGGGCTTCTTTTTTGAGATGTTCTTTTCGAGGCTACTTTTGCAAAGTAAAGAGGGTGGGTGGAGCTTCTTCTCAAATTTAGTTATTGTAAATTTTGTGAATTTGTACTATAAAACAATAAATACAGCCACTGTAACATCAATCTGCTTCATGGAGTATATTTAACTGACATTAAATCACCTAAACTACTGTATAAACCAAGCTTGTATTTAATTAATTTGTTCTTTGAAATTCATGTATAGATACTGTACTCAAAAATAACTCTATGCTATATTGAAAAGAAGCACTTTTTGAGGCTAATTTTGAGAATGAGGAGAGCTTCAATTCGAGATGGGCTTCATCTTGAGATTAAGCCCACTGGGCTTCAATTTAAGGTTTTACGGTATAAGAATTAAAACTTACGGCACACAATCTGAGTAATACGATTGGTTTGTTTTCTTGTCATTTCGTTAAGATTACTATGTCATCAGGATAGTTATACTCTTCTGATGACGCTGAGATTAGTCTCACGGAAAAAAACAAAGGACCCTTTGATTATATGCAAATAGATTATGAGTATGGTGACGCCGAAAAATGACAGACATGAGGCCATAATTGATTCTACGTTTCGTTCTTTGTTAGAACATTGTCAAGAATGAATACACTACCAGCACTTTAAAGGTTTTCTGGTATAATGATAATTTACATTGTGGAGTTGAATGGCTTGATGGTTTAGGTACTTGCAGGATTTTTTTCTCACAGTCAGAAAAAACTCCACTCCCTTAACCTCGTATTGAGATTTAGTTTGTGTATGAAAGCATTATGTGTGTATGTTTGTCTTGTGAAAGGGATTGCCACCTACAAGTAGCACAGTGATATATTTGCTATTGACAATTCTTGGTTCATTGCATTGTATGCCTCAGTAAATAAATAAATAAATAAAAATATAATGTCAATTAGCCAGGAATATTTTCATAGTTCTTCTTTCTTATATAATTTATTATGTGGAATGATTCATGGAATCGCATGTTTTCTGACGACATTTAAGTTTCAAATTTACATTTGCGACTTACTCCTATACCCATTTCACACTAGCAGAAAATATTTCAACTTTTAACAACTATTAACAAGTTGTAGCAAGTTTGATATTCCAAGATTTTTGGTTCGTTTCACACATGCACTTTCAAACCATGAGAAATTTCGGGAAGACTCGGAATAATATTATGACTAGGCCTAGAGGCCTAGGGTAGTACTAGTAGGCCTAGGCTAGTTGTAGGTTGTCCGATGCATGCGCAACAACAACTCGGTAGATTTTGGGAAAAAAACAGGCCTCGCGATGGTCTGTTTTTGTTCCGAGATAACTCAGGGGACCCCTGTGAAATCTCGGAAAGGATTTTACTTTCACACTCATCCAAACCTGGTTACAACTTGTTACAAGTTGTTAATATTTGCAAAATAGCATCAGTGTGAAATGGGTACTAGTTAGATATTTCCGAAAGGCCTCAGTTTTTTTTATATATCCCTGCCAAATTAGTATAAAACATTTTTTTTAAACATCTGGTTTCATTACATTTATATTGGATGTAAATAAGTAAGCTTCCAATGTTCGATTTAACAATTAAGAAAAAAAATCAATATTTTCATCAGGTGGTTTGTCAAACCCTTCAATTTCCCATTGATACCTACTGCAGAAATTATTCTATATACTTTAAGAGGATGTGATTAAGAGATTTTTTTTACCTGGAAAATCAATAAATTGTGTGCTAGAAAAGCTGTGTTGGATGATTTTTAAATGAATATGGTGTTCAGTGCTTCGGGGGTTGTTCGATTTGACAAATCAGAGTCTTCCTTAGTGGACGTATGATGAATGTGTTGCTAATCCTACAGATGTAGATGTTATGCAGTTTTCCAAATACTGTAGCTTCGCATTTAGATGTTGGATGTTGATTACATACCTGGAGCAAGTCGGTAGTCTTTAATTAAAAGATATATCTACTGAGCTTATAAGCATTTGTTGTTAGTGACTGATTAAGATTTATTTAAGTACTATAAAGTATGCATCTAACATTGAATTTAAACACAAGAAAAAGTACAAAATATGATGATCTCTAAGAAATAAATAAAATTTGATAGTCTGGACAGAACTTAAGGCCTGTCTAGACAATGACATTTTATTTGACAAAAACATGTGACATGCCTAAATATGGTCTGGACAGAGCTTAAAAATAACTGTGTCAGGTCAGCATAGTGTCATGACTTGTAATAAGTGAGTAATTAGATAGTATACAAACATTGACTGTTCATGAGGGGAATGGTGAAATTATTGCCCTGAGGTCTCAACGTCACCGAGGGGGAAATATTAGAGAGTAAATATTTGTTTTATATACCTCATATATAGATTCTTCAAGGCATTAAAAAGTACTTACTTCCTAGCTTAGGCTAGCTAGAGGCCTACTACTAGTCTAGGCGCTCAAAGAGTGTGTCTAGCTCTTGTTCATTTCCTCAATTTCAACAGCACCCATCATCTTGCAATATTTGTTGAATATAGACAATACATATTTAATTTGTCTTTTGGTGCTTTTTGCTGTCGACTTAAAGAAGTATTAATCCAGGAGCTCAAACCGACAGCCTCCATAATTATTGTTTATCGTCTACTCTCTGATCCGTGGTGCGGTCTAGGGCCAATCTCTTTTTTTGTCGTAGAGGTCGTAGTCCCCTCTACCATCGACGCGATGGTGGGGCCTACTACCACGCAACAGGTCAAAAAGTACTATTTTTTAAGGGAATAGTACTTTCTGTTGCCCGCTTCTTAACCAATCAGATGTCTAGAATCTATGTATGAGGTGTATAACACATGATAATGTGTATACACAGATAGTTAATCATTTTAAGCGCTGTGAGTCTCTGGTAAAGAGCGCTATATGAATGCTTAAATATTGTTATTATTATTGTTGTTATTATTGTTGTTGTTATTATTATTATTATTATTAGCTTCTATGGACTTCACAGTATAAAAAAGAGTAATAAGTAAACAAACAAAAACAAAAAAAAATCTTTTTATTAAGACTTGAGAAGTTTTGAGAACTGATTGAATCTTAACTACAACCAAGAGGTTTATGGGTGAAGAGTTGATAATTTCGTACTCTTGATGCTGTAACCACTATACTCCATCTATTAACCAATGTGTCGGTAACATAGCGCAGCCAATACGGCCTGAGGCATTATGGCAAGCCTGCTCATGACTGACGCTGCGTGTCTTAACCCTTTGAAGTCGCGGTCCGTATAATATACGGACCAATTTACTGTCGCAGGAAGCCCGCTCCAAATTATACACGCACTGACTTTGGTGCTGCTGCCCTCTATTTATTTAATGAGTAATTTTAGGGTATTGCCCTATTTTTGCCGCAACTGGATGTGCAGAAGCCTTCAAAGTGGCCAAATCGGTGATGCACTTACTTTTATTTTAGTGGATGGGACTTAATGGGCCTTAGTGACCTTGGCAAAATTCACTTGGGAATATAAAGGGTTAAACTGCAGTGGCGGACCTTTCCTGTCATTCGATTCTATTTCTATCCCTCATGCCATACTTCTATACTTTTGGATTCCTTAGGAAGTCTCGGCTTTACCCGCCAGAACCAGAACCACCAGGCCACAGTTTCTCTCCTTTAATACCTTGTAAAATACCAGTGCTAAATACCAGTGCTAAGTCAAGTGTATACATTATACTATATGTAGAAAAGCATGTCACGTAAATATAAAATTTAAGAGGAAAAACTGATGATTGTTTGAATCTTATTTTCAGTCTGACTCGTTGGTTTACATCATCGATACTGGTACCGGGCAACTTATGAGTCTCGATGGGATGGGCGGAGTTCAACATTACCTACCAAATAGTGGAATAGTCCAGTAAGTTAACAGTTCACTATATTTATTATTAAAGGCCATGCTTTCGATGAATTCGATAAAGAACCCAACCAATCCTGATTCAGGGTACCTTGTACTGTGTGCTCACTTGATACAGACATGCAAAGGAGTTTGAAATGGGGGAGGGGTACAAAGGTGAGGGGGCTCAATTCAGGAGGCGCTAGCTCGCAAAATATGGTTGTAAGAGGTGATTTTTAACTACTGGAGCATGATTTTTTTTCTTCAAAATTTTCCAGTGGGAGAGAGGGCTTTTTTTTCTTGGAAGAAAGTCTCCCTAAAGGTTTGAAACTTCACTGTGCATTTTACTTCCTTGAGCAGAAGGCAGTCTCTCCCACCAGGAGTCTAAGTGCGTAGAGTATGTGGTAAGCTTGAGCACCAGTAAGCTAATTAACTAGCAGCAATATTATGGAAGTCTTCCCAGGGACCTGTGTTCCAGGTATTGAATCTAATGGTCCAGTGGTAATAATGTGAAATGCTCTGAGACCTTTGACATGATGTCTAAAACTGGCATAATAGTCTATGCTGCAATTTATCAATATACGTCAAATCAACAGCATGGAAGAAAATATACAATAAAATACAATGAGACCTAACTCGCTGTAAAAAAAACTAATAGTAGGTGATAGATAGACAGACATATGGTGGGTGGATAATAACATTCGTAAAATAATAACAGTGGATTTTAATGATAGAAAGTGGGTTAATAATGGTGGGTAGATGTCAATGAAATTAGCTTTAGACTGGGTGGAAAACTTCAAGGCTGGGTGGCTCCGCCCACTATAACTACATTCCTTCATTACAGAGGGGAAGGTCATCTTCACAGTCATCTCCGTCACTTTACTGTGACGGAAATGATTTCTTGATGTTTTCTTTTGTCAGTAAGGCCAAAAAAAATATATATACTTGTTTAGCGTCACTGCCCGACCCTGATTTTCTAGCCCCCCTCTCATTTTTTTTTTTTTTTTTTTGGTAAAAAAGTGCTGAAAATCGACTAAAAAATGCTGATTAATAGAAGAAAAACGATCGTTTTTTTCATCTTCAGCACAGGGAACAAGATGTGAAGTGCGCCACCAAGTTTGTTTCCTTTTTCTGCAGAAAAAAATAGATTCCCTCACACATTGTGCTTGTTGACAGAAATCGCGGACAATTTGATCGTAGGCGTACATGTTTTTATTTGGTTCTTTTTAGATAATAAACAATGTTTTAAATATGATAATAATAAAGTACTATGAAGAAAAATAATAGGTTGCGACCTACGCTTCAATTGGCAGATGTTTTAGGCCTAGCCTAAATACTACTTAACTAGGCCTAGACCCCTAGCTAGTAGTAAGTATGGCTAGGCCCACCTGGCATAGGCCTAGCCTAGCACTACAGCAGTTTGCCTACGGAACCACAATGCTTATTAAAATAAATATTGTACAAACAAATTTATGTAAAATTTAGTGTCTGTTATAGTCTTTGTAAAAAATTTGGCTTGGCACCAATGCAGTTTTTGATGATCTCTAGGCCTAAGAAGCCTACACATTAGGGCCTAGCTAGGCCTAAGTCAGCAAAAAAAAAAAAAAAAAAAAAAAAAAATCTTCCCCCTCCCCCGCCCCTGAAAATTTCTGAGGGTGTGACACTAAACAAGTATATTTTTTTTTGGCCTAATGGAAATAAAATAAGGGTGAATATGGATCTGGCGTATTCTGTTAGAAAGCACCTTGTTCAGTGTTCATTATCGTTTCAGACATTATGATCGCTCTAAAATTCACTCAGTTTCCTATGCTACAACACTGAAAATTGAATACATATTATTCACAAAAGTGCGCGGCAAACATTGATTTAGGGTTTTTGTACAACATACAATCATATCCCATGAAACAAATTCAAATGTGAAACATTTTTTTCATTCATGGTTTTCTAAGCCACTAAATGTTACACTTTACTGAAGAATGACCTAATAGTCTTTGATTGCTCCAAATTTTTTGTAGTTCTCTTTCCAATACTGTTCACTTAGAGAGAATATTTGCAAGTTGGCTCTGAAAATGTTTACCAACATCAAATTATTCTCATACTGATAGTGGAGTCTAAAGTAACCAATCAAAATCCATCGTGTTCTATCAATTAAACATGCCAGATTAATAGACCTGGACAGTTTAGTATCCATAGCAACAAGCAATTAAGTGTTCCCCATTTGAAATATTACCATATTTTTGACAATAAAACATTAACGATCTTCAAGATTTCAAATCGGTTGATCTTATTCTCACAATTAGTGAAAATTAGTAAATTAATTTGTCTTAATCGAAAAAATGAAAGTGCCATATTAGAAAATAGTATTCTTCAGTTTGAGTTTTAGGTGCGAGTGTTACAAATAATGTACTACAAATGCATGATTAAAGGCTCACTCATGATTAGTTGTTGCATCGGGTCTGTGCTAGTTAAACACAGATA